CCCCCCCACACACACAATTACATCGATAGCGTCGTGGCGTCGTGATACAAATATAAGGATATGCTCGTTCGATAAATTTTACAGCTGAAATCGATATTTTAATGACATATTTATATTATGTTATCATCAGCGAATTGCTAAGATTTCTATTGTACTACATGTAATGTTCTGCTATATTTTCTGCTATGTTTATGTTTAGTATTTTTTTTCATATTTTAGTATTTTTATATTTATAATATTGTTATTTTAATATTAATTTTGTATTTAATATCTTTTGTATTTGTTAAAGTACATATTGCAAGGAGCGCTATTACAAGTATACTGGTAAATAATACGTTTGAATTTGCCGCAAAACGATGACGTATTGATGACAATTTTCGAGTGTCACGTGACTTATCGTGCGCATAACCTAACCCTTAATATTTGCATCATGGAAATGGAACAGCGTGTTTATAGCCAAAATCCGAACGGCACATGTGACTGACTGGCAGGCGGCGTCCAGCGAGTGTGCCAATTGAAAAAAAAAAAGATAACAAGTCTACGTGTCCGCCGACGGGACGACGCGGCGCGTCTCCGGGAGCAATGAAGAAGGATGGTGCTGCGATTCTGTCCGTTCTGCGCTAATCTCCTCCGATTCCGGGAGAGTCCAACGGGCAACCGATTCGCGTGTCCCACGTGCCCGTACATCTATCCGATAACAAGCCGGGTGACCTCGCGCATCTATTTCACGGGCAAGGAGCGCGCCGACATCCTCGACGCCGAGTCCGCGTGGATGGGCGTCGAGTCGACGGACGAGCGTTGCCCCAAGTGCTCGCATCCGCGGGCCTACTTCAAGCAGCTGCAGACGCGCTCCGCCGACGAGCCTATGACGCTCTTCTACCGATGCTGCAATCACGCGTGTGCTCACACGTGGCGGGTCGACTGAGGTGCTCGCAGGTGAGTGATTCACGATTAAATATCGCGACGAGTCATCTCGCGGCGGGAGGGGAAGGGAAAATTGTGCTACTTAAACTATTTGACGTAGATTCATTAATTCTTAATTCATTGCCACGTGTCTTGCCAACTCCTAGGGAAACTAATTCGGATTAGAAACGGAAGGGAGATGACGAGTTACGAGCTTGCTGTAGGATGTGTGCGGAATTGCATCAGAAAAGGAGAATCGAAGATACTGTAAAGAGTAATATAAATATTTTACGAAGAAAGGAAGAAAGTATAAAACTATAATAGATCAGAGAAGAAAAATTAGAGAATGTGCGTCACTTAGCTGTATTTCATTTTGGGAGTTGAGGTATTTTTTAAGGAGAAATAAAAACTTGTTGCATTTTCAAGAAAAAAGAAAGCAAAATGGCTCGATAGAATACCTGAATAAGTTAAAATTTGATAGACTATTAAGTTACAGCTAGAACGAATGTATTTTATGTATCGAAGTAGGGAACTTGGACGTACATATAATTAAGGAACGTTTTGACCTTACTGATTAGGCCTTTCTTTAACCTTCCATGATGCGCGTTAAAAGTAAAAAGTACAGCTAAACAATTCTTTTATCAATCTTCTCCACAGTTTTATCACATCAATCAGTTTCGCTATGAACTTGCTTGCTCTTAGTTTTGCAGTGTCGTCTGACCAAAATAAAAAAATAATATATGTTATAAAAAATGAATACATTTTTTATATTTGCAAATAAATCAAAATAAACATCGATATTTTTTGCACACAGATAAGCTCTAACGATTCTCTTCTCTCTTCACAGGCGTGGAATACCGCGAGCACTCGACGTATCATGAACCCTGCCTCGATGGGCCCGATGAAAGTCATCATGAATAAGGCGAGGGAAGAGCAGAAGATGCTCGGACCGGAGGAGAAGCACTTCTTCTGCGGCGGCGACCGGAGCGTCGCGATGGCGGCGGAGATGCTGCGGCAGGGCAAGGTGATCGCGGTGCCGACGGACACGGTGTACGGCCTGGCCTGCCTGGCCGACAATTCGCGCGCCGTCCAGCGGCTGTACGAGATCAAGCGGCGGGACGGGGGGAAGCCGCTGGCGATCTGCCTGGGCAACGTCAACGAGGTGGGCGCGTGGGGCGTCCTGGACGACATACCGACCCGTATGCTGGAGGACCTGCTGCCCGGGCCGTACACGATATGCCTGCGGCGCACGCCCGCCCTGAACCGCGCCCTCAACCCGGGCCACGACACCGTCGGCGTCCGCGTGCCCAACGACAAGTTCATCCGCAGCGTCGCCCAGCTCGCCGGCCCGCTCGCGCTCACCAGCGCCAACGTCAGCAGCGAGCCGAGCAGCCTGCACCCGGACGAGTTTCGCGCGCTGTGGCCGGAGCTCGACGGCGTTTTTTACAGCTCCACGAAGAAGCGGAAGGACGACCACCGGGTCGGCTCCACGGTGGTCGACGTGTCGACTCCGGGCTGCTTCACGGTCGTACGTCGCGGCGTCGGCGCTAGTTTTATCGTTGGGATATTAATGAAGCACGGTCTGAAAGCAAACGCGCGCGAAAACGCACGTGATTGAACTCGTGTTAGTTATATTTATGAATTATATTTAATTTAATAAGATGGTGGTTTGTACAGTTTCGAAGATGTAAATATAAGAGATCAAAGATATTTCGTTATTTCTTTGCGTTTTACATAACACATGAATGCGATAAAGAAAATGAGAATGAATTAAATCAAGGCGAATTAAAACGGAAGTACGACGATGTGAAGAAGTCGTGTAGTTAAACAAAAAAAAAGTAAATATCTGTAAAAGTATGACTAGAACTAAAACATGACGTAGATTTAGATACATAAAGCATAAAGTATCTTAATAGACTCGGGGGAGGGAGGGACGGTTTTTTGAATGAAAGATATTTTTCAAAATTTTATATTATAATTTCCTACTTATAAAACAGTCTCAGTTAGCTTTTCTTTCATCATCTCATCGCGAGTGTCTAAAAAAATCGTGCGATTTATTATAATGTATACACGCTTTATACAATTAGAATATGTATAAGTCTCTTAAAAATCTCATTTTATTGCGATTCATTCAGTCTAAGAACATTTCCGTATTACGCATGAGATGTCGTTAAGCAATTCCTTACGCTTTCGTTTATTATAATCTAGTTAATGATATTTCTTAGGTTTTTTTATTTCAAGCAGTCGATTAAAATTTAAATAAATATTTTATTTAAATTTGAAACTGCACCTCCCTCTATGTACGACTGAAAATTGTAAAATGGGAGGGCGGGGAAAGGCAGGGGAACGTGTTTTCGAAGGCAAACAAACATTCATCGAAGATTCTTTCCGCGGAGGGTAGATTCTTGCCCCGATATGTCAATGAAAAATATTTCACTGAACACTTCATGCACGTCGTAACGTAGATCGTATTGCGTATCCTCCTGACATCAATCCTTACATCAACTATAAATTAATCATTCGATTGCGACACACACACACACACACACACACGCAGGCACGCACGCACGCACGCACGCACGCACGCACGCACGCTACATATACACTCGCTCGATTGATGAGTCCTTGTCCCCGGCCCGGATAAATATATTCCTAAAACTATAGCGCAATTAATGTATAATAAATAAATATTTAACGCTAAATATTATACACAAATGTGACCGCCTTGTCCTTAGCGGACTATGTCCTCGACTGGCCTCGCGCGTCTTAATTACAAATAATCACTAGCGTTCGCTTATTCCAAGCGATGAATTTTTAGGCTCTCACGAAAGTTTCGTTGGTTCCTCATAATGCAGCGATTCTCGATGGCGCGATGAGGAGAAGGGGGAGGGGGGGG